GTGTAGGCCGTGCGTCAGCAGCCATGAAGAGCTGGAAGCGACATGGCCAGATTTACTTTTCAAATCCTCACACTGGTGGCACCACAGGTGACTGTTAGGGAAGAGATGGAGCAGGGAAAGCAGGTGGGCAGAGTCCAGGGAGGGTCACTGAATGTCACCACCTGAATTAAGGTGGTGACAGTGGGAGCAGAGAGGAGAGACTAGATCGGAGAACAGTTCTGAAGCTGGAACAGACAGATGTTGGCGTGAGGAAGAGAGCTGAGAATTCTGTGGTTCCTGGATGGGCCACCAGGTAAGGCGGACAAGCATTATCTGAAGCTGGGAGGACAGAGTGGGTTTGGAGGGGAGTGTGTTCTGTTTCGGACGTGAGCAGTTTGGGGCACCTTCGGGCAGACAGTGGAGACAGGTCTGTGAATTGGGGATTAATAAATGGGATCTCTAGGTATCAAATGGCTACTCTGATGCCCCCAGCGTGTAATGGAGAGCCTCATGTACTTGTCACCCAGGAAGGGTGGGCACCCCGATTTATGAATCAGCGTGCTCGGGTGACGTTTTAGGCCTATTTTGGAAGTCAGCCAATTGTTTTCGCAGAAACGTCTGTTCTAATTAAACCTCCTGGGGCTTCCTGATACCTGCCCAGGCACCTCTCAGGTGAGCTACGCGGGCTTCATCCACTGGCTGGGGGAGGTGAACCCTCTGGTGGGCGTGGAGGCTGCAGCCCGAGCCGCCCTGCCAGCTGTTCCTCACCTCATACGTGACCGGGGCCACGAGCACGCCCTCCTCCCGCAGTGCACTCCCTATTCCCCTTTGTTTGTTTCTCCAGTTTCCTGGGTGACCCCATCTAAGCGAATATGCAGGGTAGTGAGAATTTATAAGGGTGGCAGGTAATGGGAGAAGGCTGATGACAGTGAAGCGTGTTTCTGGAGCCAGAGTGAGTCAGGGGTGCATTTTTCCCAAGTGAGCTCACGTCGTTTGCTAACGCAGTGGCAGAGCTGTGAACTTGAACCTTCCGTTCACTAATGCACCTGATGGCCTCAGGTAAACCGGCCGGGAAGGCACAGGGGGAGCCTGGGGAGAACCTGTCTCGGGGGAGACCTGGGAGACCCGTGGGATGGCCCCCGGGGCTCCTGATGCTTTAATGAACAGCACCTTGGGAAGCAGGGCTTCATTAGTGGGGAGAGTAAGGGCTGCTGGCACTGGGAATTTACTAGCTTCAGTCTGTTAATCACTTTCAATAAAACTGTCGCCTTCCAGTAGCCCTTTTACTGGGACAAGCAGATATGTGTGAATGCTGACTGAAGCCAGGAGCTAAAGTTCCTGGAAGGAACACGGTTTTTATTATCGGAGATTGGAATTGGGCTCTCTGGTCACAGCAGGGGGGCTGGGCCGCTGCTCCTGGTGTGCCAGGAGCTGCACCCGGAACCTTCACTCCTGTACCCGCTGGTCTCCCTGATGGTGAGATGTCGCTCGTTACTCCTCAGCTTGGAGAAAGTTGCAGGTGAGGACTCGCACCCGAGATTCCCCGCAGCCCAGGCTGGCGGCTATGCTGTGAGATGGTGGACGTTACATCCACAGCTCAACCCTCAGATACCCCGGGGCCTCCCAAAGTGGTGGTCCCTGCTCAAGCTGTGTCACGGGTGCTGCGTGACAAGTCCACGCTGCTCCAGGGACCAGGGTTGGGACCTCGGCGGGGGTGGGGGGGGGCGGTGCACAGCTCGTGTGGGCTCCTTCCAGCCAGAGGTGGTCCTTCCAGTGGGTGCTCAGGTGGACCTTGGGTTGTCATCAGTAAACACACAGGTCAACACTTCCAACAGTCTCAGGGACTGAGGTGGACAACCTCAGCCTGGTTCCCTTTCCCGTTTCATATGCTCCGCTCGGGTTGTCTGCGGCTCCTTGGGATGCAGCGTCCCCGAAGGCCTGAGCGAGAGCCTCCCTCCGACAGACCTATCTTGTACAAAAGGCCGATGAGTGGAGGGAGGCACACAGACGTCAGCAGAATTGAACCCTACCTCCACTTCTTTCTCTAGGACCACCTAGCAGGGGTCAGCACAGTTTTTCTGTGCAGGGCCAGAGAGCAGGTATTTTAAGCTTTGTGGGCCATGCGGTCTGTGTCACAGCTACTCAGCTCTGAGGTTGTAGCACGAAAGCAGCCACAGACAATATGTAAACGAATGAATGTGTCTGTGTTCCAATAAAACTTTATTTACAAAAAACAGGTGGTGGACAGGACTTCGCCGTGGTCGCTGAGAGATTCTAGTCTCTCTGAGCCTCAGATCTCTCATCTGTAAGACAGGAATAATCATACCTACTTCACAGCAGGAAGGAATAGACGTGAAAAGAATAAACGAAAGGAATAAAGACGCAGACATAGAGGATGGACTTGAGGACGCGGGGAGGGGGAAGGGTAAGCTAGGACGAAGTGAGAGAGTGGCATGGACATATATACACTACCAAATTTAAAACAGATAGCTAGTGGGAAGCAGCGACATAACACAGGGAGATCTGCTCGGTGCTTTGTGACCCCCCCCTAGAGGGGTGGGATAGGGAGGGTGGGAGGGAGACACAAGAGGGAGGAGATATGGGGAGGTATGTATACGTATAGCTGATTCACTTTGTTATACAGCAGAAACTAACACACCATTTTAAAGCAACTATACTCCAATAAAGATGTTAAAAAAAAAAAAGAATAAACGAGATGGTACATGTCAGGGGCTCTGCACACGGCCTGGGACGTGGTGGTGCTCTGGAAACAGGTGCCGTGTTGTTAGAATTAGCTCCAACTGCATACTTCCCCCGGGAACGGCTTTGACATTCAGGGCTTTGCAGGAGGCTACAGAGAAATGCAGGACCACGCTCAGCCGTGAAACGGGAAGCAGGAGGCGCTACGGGTGTAATGTTTATTTTGGAAGCTGGCATCGTAACAGTTGAGGGCAGCGATGGTGGATGAGTCAGTCCATCGAAAGGTATTTGTGAGCCCTTGGTCTGGATTCAGAGTGCGGTCGTCGCTTTCGCGACTGTAAAAGCAGCAGTTGAGTTAGGAAGTCAACTCTTGCAGTTCAGTTAGGGAGGCAGAAGTAACTCATGTGAAGCAATCAGAGACCAGCGAGAACTCAGAGCCACCTGGGTGATGGGTAACCTGGGTAGAGGAGGCAACCTGCTTGGTGGGAGGGGCAGCAGCAGGCTCACCCCCGGGAGGTGGGGCTTGAGCCGGGTCTGAGTGATGAGCGGGATTCTGGTAAGGAAAATACGGCTTTACCTTTTCTCCCCAGTTTGGATTTTGGAGCAGAGCCTTCCTTTTGTACAGGATCAGAGTAAAGAGCCTATCGGGTCAGGAAGAGGACTTTGCAGTGAAGGCTCAGAAATTCTTTTCAATTCCAATGTCGACAGTCCTTGGGCTTGGGCATCTGTTTCTTGGCTTCCCAGAGTTTCCTCCATAGGATTCTTGGAAGGGAAGCAAAGCTCTTTGGGAGGAATTGGTTTAATGGGGAGGTCCACGCGTTGGTAGCAGTGCCTAGAGGTAGCCAACAGGACCCCGCCTTTGCTGCCCTTTCCCCTCTTCCTCATCCTTCCTCTGTCTCTCGTGCCTTGTAGGTTGGACTTGGCCCAGTCTCTGGGACTCACTCAACTGCAGGTGAAGACTTGGTACCAGAATCGCAGGATGAAATGGAAGAAAATGGTAAGAAAGAGAGTAGGTCTTACCATGGACCCATCATGACACGAGAAATTCTTCTTACAGGGCTGGTAAGAAGGCAGGAAGGACCATTTTGGTGGTTTGAGCTCCAGAGATTGGAAGGCCTTTTAAGATGCTGGCTAGGAGGGAGGCTGTTTGAATTAATAGGATAAGCCATTCTTTCTGACCTGGATTTCCCGACCAGAAGGATATTCTTTTTCACAGTTTCATTAGAAATAAAAAGAAAGCCCCCAAGCTCCTCAGTTGCGGGTTTTAACCCCACCTGCTAGACTTTTCAAAGAACTTCCTTCCCCCTCCCACCAATAGCTAGGAGTAGAAGTCAGTCCTCTTTGTTTAGAGGATATACAGGGCACATCTGCTCTTGTAGCTGTGTGTCCCCCCTAATGCAGTGATTCTCAGCTCTAGTGGGCGGGGTCAGAGTAACCTGGGTGGCAGGTACAAATGCAGAACTTGAGGCCCCCTCCAGGATTCTGCTTCCCTGTCCTGTTCCCAGGACAGGGGGTGTTAACCAGCACCCAGTTTCCTCTGATACACATGGTATAGTGACTCTGGTTTCCCTAATACTGCTCTTGTGCCTAGCTGATGAGCTGATCCATATTTGGTTTTTAAATGAACTTATTAGTATAAACATCTCTTTAAAAAAAGAATAAACATCTCTACATTTTGAGGAGCTCTATTTCATAATGGTTTACCACCCCTCTTTTTTTGAAAAAGCACAGTTAAATCCAAAGTAGTTGGGTTTCACTTCCAGTTTTGTAAACCCCAAGGGTCAAGGTCAAAGCCCAGAGAAAAGAGGAGGGTTGGGATGAGGGTGGGAAGACCCCTTGCTCCGATTCTTTAGAGACCACGTGCACCGTGGCCTCTGACCCAGGCCTTTGCACATCCTCGCTGGATCCCACTGGCCCCCTCTCCTCTCAGGAGCTCAGGCCTGCCTGCATGACGTTCCAATTTGCTAAGCCATCTGCTCACAAGTCATGTTTCCTGGTGTCTCAAGGGCTGGAATATGAATTTTTTTCACAATTACCAAATAACTAAGGTCCCCCTACCACCTAGTTTTCAGGAAAAAAAAAAAAAAAAAAAAAGTTAATCAGTATATTTTGAAAATAGGTAGTAGATTTTGAGTTTTCTCAATTTTGTTTCTGTCCAATATTTTTTTTTTCTGAAAACTTTAGTTCTTGCTGTTGCCTGCTAAAAAAGAGAAGACTAAATAAATAAATTGCAAATGAGTATTAATGGAAATGGGAAGAAAGCCACTAAGGCAGCATTTCTTATATCCCTAGAAAAAAAAATTCCTGGGCAAATTTCATCCTTTCCTCTGGGGGGACTTGCCCCCGAGGTGGAAGGATTTTCAGATGGAGGCGGCCTGGCCCATGAATGCTCTCCCAGTGAGGCGGCAATGCCAGACACATGTACAAACACACATATACTGCATGCATCAACAGATACGTGTTCAGTGTCTCTTGTGAACCACGCCTCGTCCTAGGCACTATAGAAAGTCATGGAACAAAACAGAGCCCTGTCTTCGTGGGATTTATGATCCACTTGAAGAAGGTGGTCCAGGAAGCAGCAGAGGCGCACACACTGTAATTAAGTGCTGGTGGTTTATTTGTAGATTTAGAACCCCGTACGAAAGAGTCCAGAGGACAGGTATTGGGACAGGTTGCAGGGAGAAGGTGAAATTGAAGGATAAATAAGATTCAGTTAAATATACTGTTGCTCCCCAACTTCTAGACTGCTAAGCCACCCATGAAACCTTCTGGGGGATTGATCTCTAAGGGAACCAGATTTGGGAGCTGGAAACACTGGGCCGTGTTCCCAGGCGTGCCCCTCCCTGGCTGGTTTTGGGCAAGTCTCTTCACTGCTTTCTGTGCAAGTTCCACCACCCACCTCCTTCCCTGTCCATCATTATCGTCGAAATCAATGTCTCCTGAGTGGCAGAGGCATTGTTTAAGTTGGTTATCAGCAATCTTTTCATGCGTCAGACGGTGAATGAACTGACAGCCTGCCATCTGTGCCAGCATCGCCTGGTGCCCGTGGGGGGGACACGTGTGCCTCTGCCGCTGACGTCACCTGTTTTCCACCAGCCACTGCGCGGCTGGCGCAGCCGTGGGCAGGGTGTCGATGGTTATCAATGTCGTATGAAACAAAATGGAAGTAACTTCGCACATTTAACTTCAGAGAGCATTCCACAGGCCAACCAGATTCAGGCCCCTTTGGGAAACAAGACTCCATTTCATTTCATCTCGTGAGCACTTACTTTCACCAGGCAATGGAGATGCGACCATAAGACGCCAACCCATCCATTAAAAAATAAAATTCAAAGAAGGTACTCAGTCACGTGGGGGAGACAGACCTGTAAGCCGCTCGTTATTCAGAGTGATCAGGGCAACAGTGGAAGGACTGACAAGGTTCAGAATCAGTAGAGAAGGGACGGCTTCCCAGAAGAGGTGCCATCTAAATTGGGTTTAGCGGATGAATAGACACGTGCCAGGTGAAAGTGGGCAGGGTGTCACAGGAGTACATGGGGCGCAAGAAGGACCTCAGAACGGCCGGAGTGAAGATGAGAGCGAACTGGCTTGGGTGTGGGTCACATCCTTACTCCTCCAGGACAGCAAGGCATTGTTGGGAACCTGATTGCTTCATAGTTTCTCCTGGTAAAACTCTTTCAAGGCTGTCTCTGCAGGGACTGGGGAAGAAAAGGATAATTGAGTAAGAAAGATGTCTCAAGGCAAGTAACCTCATCGGAACTGGAAAAAGATTAGCACTTGCTTCTCAGAGTTATTTGCACTCTGCCAAGGACAGCGCTGCCAGAACCAAGATAGCATCTCTGACTAGTTTTTACCAGTCAACATGTGTGACCTATAGCAGGTTAGGAAAATGTGACCTTGCACATTCGGTGGGATGCTCACCCTCCATCCCGTTTCTGCTTGGCTTTGGTTCCAGCAGGGTCCACTGGGCTCTGCAGCGGACCGGAAGTACCTCATCATTCAGTGGTATTTTTCAGCTCCAAAGTACAGTTGTGTTCCGTGAGAGGGTCCAGATGGGCGGCACCTTCCTTTCCTAGTCACGGAACCGGGTGGGCCACATACCCCGTGCATCGTCATCTTTCTCACCGAAAGTCTCCAGCTAGCCAACAGCCCCAGGAAGCTGCTACCAGTTGCTACTCGTGTCATCGTGGGCAGGTGACTTAACCTCTGCATGCCTGTCTCTTCATCATTAAATGCCTAACGTCCACCTTATAGGGATGAGGATGAGGTAACTGAGCCAATCCCTGTAGGACTCGGAACAGTGCCTACCCCACAGGATACAGCCAAGAAATGTTAGCTGTTATTCTTGTTCTTCTTATGTTTTTAGAATTATTTACCTCTCCACAGAATTCATGTCTCCCGAAAATGTAAACTTTTGGAGGCCAGGAGAGATAACCCGAAAATGAATTCTGTAGGCTGCCGGGACTCTGGTTAAGACAGTCCTGGGCGTTTGTGCGTCCTCATTCCTCGCCCGCCAGCCTTCCCCTGTCAGCGCCTTAGCATTCAGGCTTGAATTGAGTGGAACATCCCACCTACAGGCGGAAAATCTGCTAAACAGTGTGCTGGGGAGAGATCCCTACTGGAGACTGCAAACTTCTCAGCTTTGGGGAAAATATTGTCAGTTACATGGCTCTTACCGTTCCCTACAGCTGCAGATAAAGATAGAGAAAAAGGGGCAAAAAAAAAGCACTGGGTTAATGAGTCCGTGGCCTAGGATCTGCTGGGAGATCGGGTAAGTGCAGATAAATATTGGAGTCAGAAATATCAGCTGCACCTGGTGGTCCAGTGGTAAAGAATCCGCCTTACAACGCAGGGGACATGGGTTTGATCCCTGGTCAGGGAACTAAGATCCCACATGCCGCAGGGCAACTAAGCCCTCGCGCCACAACTACTGAGCTCGTGCACCTCAGCTCGAGTCCGCTTGCTGCAAACTACAAAGCCCACGTGCCCTGGAGCCTGTGCGCCACAACTAGAGAAGAGAAAACCTGCACGCCACGACTAGAGAGAAGCCCGCGCAGCACAATGGACTATCAATGAAGACGCCGCGTGCCGCAGCTAAGACCCAATGCAGCCAAAAAGTAAATAAATAATAATGAAAAGAAATATCAGCTTCACATTGTACACATTCCTTGCACATTACATACATGCAATGAAATACTGATAAGCGTGTTAGGTTCAGGGGACGTCCGTGGCAGTCCAGTGGTTAGGACTCCGTGCATCCACTGCAGGGGGCATGGGTTCAATCCGTGGTCGGGGAACTAAGATCCCACATGTCGTGTGGCACAGCCAAA